CCGACCCGTTTTAGTGGTAAAAACAGGGAGTTGATTTTTCCCCCATTGACTTATAATGGGGAGGTCGCGAAACTGACCTGACCTTAGGTCACCGATATCAAAATTCCGAGATATACAAATTTCACATACTGGTACCTTAACTAAAGCCTGAAGAGAAGAAATTGATCGGTCAAAAACTCTAGCTCTGGCGTGATTGCAAACTTTTCTGAGGTAGGGTCACCAAACCGCCTCTGGTGACCTGACCTGAGGTCAGATCAACTCAAAATTTTCAGACATGTTGCGTAGAAGCCTTTTAGGAAAAGTCAGAAAATTTGAGCTTCCTAGCTCAACGCGTTTGGGAGAAATAACCAAAAAACCTCAGGGGGGCTCCTGAGGCCCCCCCCCCCGCCAGGAATAGGGTTAATGGGTAATGATCATGAGCGTCGAGCGTCTGCACAGGGGCCCTCTGCAGTGCGTCGGCAATCGCAGCCACTATAATTCTACCAGTCGTTTTGTTATGAAATTTCAAAATTTCGAATTTTTCTGTAAAAAAAATTATATTTCATAGCTAGAAGGAAACCGTCACCATAGGATTCCTCGCACCATTGCGCGTCGAATGATATGTAAAACGAGTGAGTAAAGACTGGGGAAAGGCAAGTTTTGACACAAAAGTTGATTTTGCCCCCCAACCGAAAATCTCTGGCGAAGCCTATGCTACCAGGGTTCATCGCTCGGGCCATTGTTGCACAATGTGTAAGCTAATGACCTGCCGCTCTACACCGACAACTCCACCGGCATCATCGCCTACGCGGACGACGTCCAACTGTACGTTTCCGGACAGCCGAGAGACATTGTTCAGCTGATACGGTCACTGGAAGGCAGTCTATCAGTTCTGTCGAACTGGTATGGCAAAAACGGCCTCAAGTTAAACGCTGCCAAAACTCAGCTGATCGTCCTCGGCACGCCGGAGATTACTCGTCGTCTGCATCCCATTACCATCAACTTCTGCGGCTCCACCATCACCAGCTCTGACACTGTCAAGAACCTGCGAGTATGGTTTGACAGTGACATGTCGTTTGTGACGCATACCAGTGACGTGGTGCGGCGGTGCACCGGTACCTTGTGTGGCCTGAGCCACAGTAGACACAGTCTCCCAGCGACAGTCATGGTAACGTTGGTGCAGGGGCTCGTCTTGTCGATTATTAGATACTGTCTGTCCGTTTACGGTGCCAGCAATGTAACCCAGCGCAAACGACTTCAAAAGCTGGTTAGGTTTGCTGCACGAGTCGTCTCAGGCCGTAGGAAGTACATATGATCGGGTGAGCGATGTTATCAACGAACTCGGCTGGCTTAACACCGAGAGCTTGTTCAGGTACCAATCCATCGTGCTGGTGAACAAAATGCTGGCCACGTCAGAGCCGCAGCAGTTCGCCACCTGTCTAGACACCCGGCAGAGTGTACACGGGCGGGATACCAGGTACAATGACATGCTTGTGACCCCCGCTGTCAGGTCAGAGTCCGGACGTCGCCGTTTTCTGTACTCTGCGGTGTCAGGGTACAACGAGCTGCCGGCGGACCTGCGCGCTCTCAGTCAGGCTCGATTCAAGCCGGCACTGAGGGAGTATTTGTTTGACCGCGAGCGAGCCACTTACGAGTAGCTGTCCTAGTCAGCACACGTATTGAGGGTGAATGTGTGAATGATTGCGGTGACTGTTGTCATATCCCATTCGATTTGTATATGTACAACAACTTGGACATAGAATAGCCGTGTTTCCGCGGACAAGTCTGTAATGTGAAATAAATAAATGTCTCGGTATCGGAATTCCACTATCTGGCAACTAAGTAGCCCTTTGTAAACGGGGCTATTGACATTTGTTCGCGGTGGTTTTGGGGCATTGCAACTACTGGACCGATCGAAACGAACGAAACACCATTCGAATCAGGGGGGGGGGATTTATCAGCCGTTTCGAAGATCGTGACCTCAGGTGACCTCGGTGACCTTGGGAGGTCACGGCCAATGACCTTGTGGCCTATATGGCACTTGGCAGCCATTCTATAACTCAGGAACTACTGGGCTGATCGCGACGAAAACACCACCAGTCAAATCAACGTCTGCGATTTCATCAGCCGTTTCGGATATGGTGACCTCAGGTGACCTCGGTGACCTCTAAAGGTCATTTTTACTTTTTCGCCTATTGCAGCCATTCTATAACTCAGCCCTCAGGGCCGATTGCGACGAAAACACAAGTCGTTTTAGTGCATGCAATTTCATCAGCCGTTTCGAATATGTGACCTTGGTGACCTTGGGAGGTCATATGACCGTTGTGGCCTATTGCAGCCATTGTATAACTCAGGAACTACTGGGCCAATCGCGACAAAAACACCACGTCGAGTCAACGTATGCAATTTCATCAGCCGTTTCGAAAATGGTGACCTCGTGACCTTAGGCAAGGGCGCACACAAGGGGGGGGCACACGGGCCCGTGCCCCCCCCATTCGAGTTGGGGGGCCCAACTCGAAGGAAGGGGCCCATTTGAGGCGGCCGAAGGCCGCCTCAAATGGGCCTCTAACTAATCCTTAGACCACCGAAGACCGTGTACAACGGGCCCTCAAATGGCCTTAAAGGGCCCTCAGATGGTCTCAAAAGGCCCTCAGATGGCCTCGAAGGGCCCTCAGTTAGCGTCATAGGGCCCTCATCTGGTGTCAAAGGGCCCTTAGATGGTGTCAAAGGGCCCTCAGATGGTGTAAAAGGGCCCTCAGATGGCCTTAAGGAGCCCTCAGATGACCTCAAAGGACTCTCAGATGGCCTTAAAGGGCCCTCAGATAGCCTCAAAGGGCCCTCAGCTAACGTCAAACGGACGTCAGAAGGCCTTAAAGGGTGTCAAAGGTCCCTGAGCTGGCGTCAGAGGGCCATGCCCTTGCGTCAAATGGCTCTCCTAAGGCTCTAAAGGGTCCTTAGCTCGTGACAGAGGGCCCCCAGCTGGTGCCAGATGGCCCCCAGCTGGCGCCAAATGGCCATCAGAAGGCCTCAAACGGTCCTCAGTTGGCGTCAAGCGGCCCTCAAAAAGCCTTAAGGGGCCCTTAGAAGACCTCAAGGGCCCTCAGAAGGCCTTACAGAGCGTCAAAGGGCCTTGAGCTAGCGTCAGAGGCCCCCCCCCCCAGCTAATGTCAGAGGGCCCTGAGCTAGCGTCAAACTTAAAGTGTCCTTAGCTGGTGTCAGAGGGCCCCAGTTGGTGTCAGAGGGTCATCCATTGGCGTCTAATGGCCATCAGAAGGCCCAAAAACGATCCTCAGCTGGCGTCCAACGGTCCTCAGCTGACGTAAAGGGCTCGCACCTGAGTCAATAAGAGCCTTGTCACAAAAACGGACCTGAGAAACCTTGCCGGCCCTGGTCATCTGCGGGACTCCTACACTTACCTGAGTGGCCCCCGTTTACTGAGGGGCCCTGGTTATTGATGGGGTCCCTGGTTACTTAAGGGGCGCCTGGTTACCAGAGGGGCCCATGGTCACATGGTGGGCCCCTGATCAATTGAAAACCCCTGGTCATCTGAAACGCCCCTGATTACCTAAAGGGTCCCATCACTTGGATTCAGTGACATAGCAAGGGAGCGAGGGGGTACGTGCCCGTTCTCGGGTTTAGGGTTCCTTCGAAACCGAGGGGCCCTGCGGCGCCAGTTGGTAGCAGAGGGTTCGCGCTGGCCGCACTTCAACTCGGAAGGACACCACAGGGCTTGTGGGGGGACGTTATTGGCCCCTATGTAGCCACAATTATCTTCATAAAGGCCCAATGCGGGTTTTGAGAGACCTCGCCGGCCGCTCAGGGCCCTAAGTAGTAACGGCCAACGAGGGATTGGCTGCTATGGCTCCACATCCGTCTGTGATAGAAACACGGTCCACACCAGTGTTTCTAAAGGCACCCACAACGGCAACTGCGAGGCCCCTCGCCCCACCTCCAAGGGACCCCCACCAGCGCATCTTAAGGGCCTACATCGGCGGCTCTGAGAGTCCCCACACCGACGCCTCTGAGGGCCGCGTACCAGTGACTCTGAGGGCCTCTTACCAGCCTCCGAGTGTCCTTGCCAGCCTATGACGGGCCACTTTCCACTTGCAGGCCATTTTGCAGGGCCACACACATGCCAATGATGGCCCCACCAGTGTCTCCAAGCCCTAGGACCCCGCAACGGCGCCTGTGAGGACCCAACACCAGCGCATCTGACGGCCTTTCACTGGCACCTCTGAACGCGCCACACACCGGTGACTCTGAGGAGCTCGCTCGCTTCGCTCGCTCGTAAAATACCATGTAAATTAGGCATTAGTGTACATTAGGCACACTCCTCGGGCATAAATGATACCTTTGCTTGCCAATTTTCCACATTTTCTCATGCAAAGACCGTTTTAAAGAGACCCGTCTGCCAGTGAGACTGGACCCACCGTGCCTCCCTCCTCCCATCGAAAGGTCCTGGGTACATCCTTGCCTGAGCTGACCCCGGGCGCCCGGGTGACTCGCGGGCCCGGGGTCAGGTGACCAGCAGGTGACCCCCTCTTGGGCGAAATTCTGGGTACGTGTCCGACATGCATCGTACATAGTCCTGTTGATTTGATTCATTGGTTAAGCATTAAATATAAGTTATAAGCTGGATCTCTAGTCTGTGATCCCGCATCGTATCAGATATAATGACATTTCATGTCATGTGCCTAAAAAAATATGCGAATATACGTGAAAAAGGAGTGCTGCTCCCGCCCCTACACATCCAGGCCAAACAGTGACCGGCCCCTGCTTCTAGCCACCCGGGGCCGGTCGGCCGGCCGGCAGTCAGTCGCTGCCCGGGGCTGATTTCTGAGGGACCTGCAAAAATGTTTATTAATGAAATATTTTACGTAATAAATTAGATGATTAGGTATATGTACCGGCTCTGAGTCGCATTTGAGAAAAAAACAGCCTAGCGTAAAAATATATGTTTTGAAAATTAAGCTGGTACCGAAATAATTGTTTTTTCCATGCATTGACAAACCAATTGTATTAGAATCTTGTGGCCGCAGTCGTGCCACTGCGGCGCCGCCGCCGCCCCGTCCAGGCTCGGGATGAGTTATATGGCATTGTGCGGGGCGGGGCCGGGAGGAAACGGCCGGCGGCACGCGCAGCGCAATTGTAAATTTAAGATATGTCATTTAAGGCACGTAGGCCGCCAAGCTGGCGCCTTCCGTCACATCGTCGCTGCTGTGCAAGTTCGCACTCGTTTTGGGCGTGTTCTAGACGTTTCGTAACCTGTTGAATAAAAGGTGGGTCACGTACGACCCCCGGCCAGTCTGGGCCGGCGCGCGACTGAGGCAGCTGGCAATACAACGGCAATGTGGACATAAGGAGTTTACTACAAGCTATTTCGGCCTTGGAAGACTGCCGTGATGGGGAACGAGAAGGAGACCTGTGATGGTTCGGACGCTGCGGCTGATCTCCGCTTAATCCCGGAGTTTGACGGTGTGTCGCAGCCCGTGTGCGAGTGGCTGGACAAGGTCGAACTTGTGTGTCAGCTGCGCGGCATCAAGGGACTGCACGTCGTCGTCCCGCTGAGACTCACTGGTGGTGCGTTTGCGGTATATCAACAGCTCGGAGAAGATGAGAAGAAAAAGTACGAGGACATCAAAAGGGCCCTGACATCGGCGTTTGCTTCGGATCGGTTTGAAGCCTACGACCAATTTGAACGTAGAAGGCTGCGTCCAGGTGAGACGGTGGACGTGTTCGTCTCTGAGCTGCGCCGGCTGGCTGGCTTGTTCGGAGGTATGCCGGACGACAGCCTGGCCTGTGCCTTCGTGGCCAAACTGCCAGATTCAGCACGCCGTGCGCTCCGGGCTGGATCACGGATGGAGGACATGCCGTTTAGCCAGCTAATCGGTCGCGCTCGGGCCGTGCTAGCCGACGAGGAAACAAACACCGCGGCCGCCGCCGCTGGCACAAGGACTGGAGCACTCCCGGCCACAATGAAATGCTACTCGTGCGGGCAACCGAACCATATCGCCCGCGACTGCACGGCAGGCCGCGGACAGCGGGGCCGTGGAGGCCCCCGTGGTGGACGGAGCCTCGTGAGGTGCTACAACTGCAACCGGCAGGGGCACATCGCCTCTGCGTGTCCGGAAAACGACGCGGGAGGGGAGAGATCAGCGCCAGCCTCCTCTCCTGTCGACCAGTGAACGGGGCGCTGCCAGTCGCGCAGCTGTCGGTGGACGGAGCGAGCTGCGAAGCGCTGGTTGATACAGGATGCAGCCAGTGTGTAGCTCACGTGTCAGTTTGTCGGAGGTGGAACCGACGCCCGGTGAGCGTGATGACAGTGAGTGGAGGGCGTTATTGGTGTGAGGGGTCAGGCGTGGCACGCGTGCAGCTGCGGTCCGGTGAATCAGTGTCCGTAGATGTGCTCGTCGTAGCACGTAAGCCACTGGGGTTTGAGTTCATCCTCGGGATGAATGGTATCAGAGCACTGGGTGGCGCTACAGTGAGTTCGGATGACCGAGTCAGATTCGGAGTTGAGGCAGCGGTGTCTCATATAGCGGCGTCAGTGGCCTCACCCGGTGACCGGGTCAGCTGTGATGGTGAGAGGACTGGGGTGTCGCGTGCAGTGGCAGCGACTGCACGGGTGAGTCATGATCAGGCGAGCAGTGAGGCGGCCCCAGCGTCAGGTGCAGCGGCGGCAGCTGCAGCAGTGAATCGAGCTGACAGCAGTAAGGGGGATCCGGTGTTGGGTGCGGCGGCGGCCGCCGCACCGGCTAATCGAGCCGACGAAAAGGACTTTGTGGTGAGCTTTGATGAGACAGAAAAGAAGTGGTCGGTGGAGTGGAAATGGTGTGGAGGAAAGGAGCCCGAGCAGCTGCACAACACAGCAGAGGAGTACGCGATTCCAACAGAAGCCCGACACGAATACGAGCGAGAACTCTCCAAGTGGGTGGCGAATCAATGGCTCGTCCCTTATGATGAGAGCGTGCACGGGAGGGTCAAAGGCACGATCCCGCTCATGGCGGTCATCCAACCGAAGAAGGACAAAGTGCGTCCCGTCATGGATTTCAGGGAGTTAAATACGCACCTGGACCCGCATACAGCTGACGCGGATGTTTGCAGTGAAAAAATCCGTGAGTGGCGTCGGTGTGGACGAAACGTGTCTCTCCTAGATCTGCGAGACGCTTACCTGCAGATCCACGTGCACGCATCGCTGTGGCCGTATCAGACTGTAGTGTTCCAGGGCAGACGGTGGTGTCTGAGCAGACTTGGCTTTGGGCTCAGTCTCGCACCGATGGTGATGAGAAAGGTACTGGAAATGGCCCTGAAACGTGACCCGAGGGTGCACACCGCTACATCACCTTACGTGGACGACATACTCGTAAATGAAAACATCGCTACTGCATTAGAGGTGAAGAGTCATCTGGAGGCGCTCGGTCTGACCTGCAAATCCCCGGAGAAGGTGTCAGAAGGTGCTCGTGTCCTGGGCATTCGAGTCTGGGGGGAGCGGCAAGGACTGTTCTGGAAGCGGGACAACCAGGATCTACAGCCGCCGCCAAAGCTGACGAGGAGAGAGGTCTTCTCGCTGTGCGGACGTCTGACAAGTCAGGTCCCGGTGTGTGGCTGGCTGCGTGTCTCCGCATCCTACCTGAAAAGACGCGCCACTGCAGCGACAGACGGCTGGGATGACGAGATCACCGACCCAGAACTCCAGAAAATGGTCATGGAAACGCTGCAGCGCGTGAAAACGGCCGATCCCGCACGAGGTCGCTGGGATGTCACCGGCGATGAGGGAGTCGTGTGGGTGGATGCCAGCTCCCTCGCCATAGGAGCCGTGCTGGAGATGGAAGGCAGCATCGTTGAGGACGCCTGCTGGCTTCGGAAAAATCCCGAGACACACGTGAACCTTGCAGAACTGGACTCTGTTGTGCGTGGCATCAATCTGTCCCTGGCATGGAACCTGAAGAAAGTGACTGTCGTGACGGACTCGAAAACGGTCTATCACTGGCTAACAGATGCGCTCTCCGGCAGAGCTCGGATAAAGACGAAGGCGGCGAGTGAAATGCTGATTAGAAGGCGCCTGGAGACCGTGAAGAGTCTGAGAGATGAGTACGGCCTCCAGCTGACCGTGAAGTGCGTTCCGTCAGTGGACAACAGGGCTGACGCACTGACGAGAGTGCCGAAGAAGTGGCTGAACCAACAAAGCGATCCTGAGGTCTGCGGTGCTGCCTTCTCGGCGCCGGATGTGGTCAGGATCCATGAAACAAGCGGACACCCAGGCATCGGGAGAACGCTGCGCCTGTGTAGGGAGCACGACCCGGCTGTGAGCAGGCACCAGGTGCGCAGTGTCGTTAGCCAGTGCGAAAGGTGCCAGTCCATCGATCCAGCGCCCCAGCGGTGGACACATGGTTCGCTGAGCGTGACTAAATGCTGGGACAGGGTCAGCATGGACGTCTGTCACGTAAACGATCAGCTGTACCTGACTCTGATTGACTGCGGTCCGTCTCGGTACGCGATCTGGCGGCGGATAAAGCGACAGGACACCGACAGCATCATCACGGCTCTGGAGTCGGTATTCCTGGAGCGCGGCGCTCCGAGGGAGCTGCTGACGGACAACTTCACCTCATTCCGCAGTGCCGCATTCCACGAGTTCGTCAGCCGGTGGGGTGTCAGCGTCCGGTACCGAGCTGCCCATGCGCCGTTCGGCAATGGTGTCTCTGAGAGAAACCATAGGTCGGTCAAAACAATCGTAGCGCGCAAAGGCTGCTCAGTGGCGGAAGCAGTCTACCGCTATAATGTGATGCCGCGCAGTGATGACCTGAACTCTAGTCCTGCCAACGTACTGTTCAACTACAAACTGAGAGTGCCGGACGTGGAGAGTGATGAAAAGTGCGAAGAAAGTGAGTGTGCTATGTTCAATGTAGGCGATAAGGTATGGATCAGAGACCCTAGTCGCCGGTGTGATGTGCCAAGTTCCATAGGAACAGTCACCCGACAAGTGTCGGCGCAGTGTGTGGAAGTAGACAATGTCCCCCGTCACGTGAGAGATCTGAGACTGGCTTTCGTTCCCAGTCCGGAGAGTGACCAGACTGAGCCGCCGAACAATGATAATGACGACTCTGGCCCAATTATCTTGCGAGAGTGTGCGCACGAAAGCCATGGGGAAAATGTGCCCTCTGTGACGTACGCTGAAGTTCTACGCCGCGGCATGCGGGAGAGACGCCCTGCCGTTCTGACCCAGTACGATGATTTGTAGATCAGGGGGGAGTGTATTAGAATCTTGTGGCCGCAGTCGTGCCACTGCGGCGCCGCCGCCGCCCCGTCCAGGCTCGGGATGAGTTATATGGCATTGTGCGGGGCGGGGCCGGGAGGAAACGGCCGGCGGCACGCGCAGCGCAATTGTAAATTTAAGATATGTCATTTAAGGCACGTAGGCCGCCAAGCTGGCGCCTTCCGTCACATCGTCGCTGCTGTGCAAGTTCGCACTCGTTTTGGGCGTGTTCTAGACGTTTCGTAACCTGTTGAATAAAAGGTGGGTCACGTACGACCCCCGGCCAGTCTGGGCCGGCGCGCGACTGAGGCAGCTGGCAATACAACGGCAATGTGGACATAAGGAGTTTACTACACCAATTGCTCAAACTTCAAACCAACCGAAATATAGCCCCGTGGGCCGTATTTTTTTTTGGGGGGGGGGCCTTCGGCATGGGGGGCCCAGTTCAAAGGTCGTGCCCCCCCCCCATTCAAAAATCCTGTGTGCGCGCCTGACCTTAGGTGACCAGTGAATGGCTACTCAATAGGCCACAACGGTCATGTGACCTCCCAAGGTCACCGAGGTCACCTGAGGTCACCATATTCGAAACGGCTGATGAAATCGCATACGCTGAATCGACTGGTGTTGTTTTCGTAACAATCGGGCCAGTAGTTCCTGAGTTATAGAATGGCTGCAATAGGCGAAAACGTAAATTTGACCTTTTTGAGGTCACCAAGGTCTTTTGAGGTCACCATATTCAAAACGAATGATGAAATTGCATACGTTGATTCGACTGGTGTTTTTTTTTTGCGATCGGCTCAGTAGCTCCTGACTTATAGAATAGCTGCAAGGGTAGCGGTCGAATAGTGTTGTCCTCATTTTTAACATCCTTGATTTTCTGAGACAGTAAAAGTGTAGGTGCGGCGAGGGCTGGCGCTGGTATTGTTGACGGCCTTGTTGTTGACAGCGTAATTCTTTTTTCCACCCAAAGGAAGGCGCTATACGGAGAATATCCCATTGCGTCATTGGAAACTGGAAAGTGACTTACACCTCTCACTGGCTAACTGGCTGCGTGGTGTCGTGGTGAACACACTCGCCACGTGATCTAATAACTAGGGTTCGATCCCCGCCGCCGGCCGAACTTTTTGGCGCGTTGTAGGCTAGGTTGTAGGTTTGTAGGTTGTAGGTTTGTAGGTTGTAGGTCTGTAGGTTAGGTTGTAGGTTAGGTTGTAGGTTGTAGGTTTGTAGGTTGTAGGTTAGGTCAGGTGAGGTTAGGTTATGTTTGTTTTTGTTTGGTTTGTTTACCAAGAAGCATCTTCGGGTATAGCGCCTTCCTTTGGTTGGAAAAAAGAAACACGCTTGTTGACAGAGGTCCCCCTCTGTTGAGAGGTCACTTTGCGTTTTTTTTATATTTCTAAGAAGCTTTGGTATTCTACATTGGCATTGGCATTTGTCAAGGCCGTATTCAGGTGATGTATGAATGGGAAGTTCTCTTTTTTGCTTTGACGTTTGTCACAGTCTGCTTAGGTATCTATCTCAATCTAGTAAACGCGTGCTGAGGGCTGTTCACGGGCCCTGTGTGCGGTCGGACCGCACACAGCCTCCAAGCTCCGCCCACTGCGTCCCTACGTCAGCCTTCCGTCACCGCACACAGCGATCGCTGTGGCCGGTCGGGACTGGCCACAGCCCACAGCGGACCGTCCACCGCACGCAGCCGTGACGTCAGAACCGCCTACCCATCCCCTACCCCCACGCCTGCTGGACGCACCGCACACACCGCACGCAGCAGTGTGCGGTGCCCGTGAACACCCTGAAATTGAATCAGAGTGCATTTCAATTTCAGTTGGGCAAACTAGACCTTTGGAATCAAAATATGGAGGCCAGTAGGCGGAACTATGGTCATGAGTACCCAAATATAGGAACGTTCCCATTTTTGGGAACGGAGTTCCCAAATATGGGAACGGGCGTTCCCATTTATGAGAACGGAAGGCAATTTTTCGACCGTTCGCCCACTAAAACTCAAAAGTGCATCACGTCTCAAAAAAGTGCACGCTGATTTAAGTATCTACTAAATCTCCATAAGGTTATCTTTAATCTGACCGTGGAACAAGGAAATTGACCGTGGAATGATATTTTTAATGATTTTTTAAAAATGACAGAATGGTTGAAATATGGGTTATACGACATTTAACATGCAATTTTAAGGAAAATGAAGCATTTTTTACATTTTGAGGTCAAGTATAATAATTTTCGCCTGGTTATGAAGTTTCATTCTAGCGACACCAGATGCTGACATATGCAAGCGAACACGCGGACAGTCCCGAGGTAATATTGTTGACTTTTGGTGTCGGGGCGATCGACCGCGTGGAACGTCAGTGATTTTACCGAACTACTGTTGTAAACTCAGTTTCAGTGGTTTAAAATCATTCAGCTGTATTTTATCAGCCCTGAAAGACATATTTTATTTGGATGCTAGCTGTTTAGCGTTGTTTTATAAGCAGCGTCATGAGCGTGGTTTTTGTCTTCGGCGTTTCTAAGCATGATCGTTTGGGGGGATTTTCTCTGATATAGGTCGCTCTGTGTGGCTTATTTATAATTTTTATGCTGATTTCGATCATTCCTCGTGCCCATCCTACCAGACCTTTTGCCACTTACACTCATTAAGAAAGGAAAAAACTAGATTTTCATTGGGACTAGGTGTTTTGAGGGTGTAACATATTCAGCGTTCCCATTTTTGGATACTTCTTGTGCTCGTCAACTCTCGGTGATTAGCAGACAGGTGCTTGACATGTCTCCACCCTCGGCGCGGACGGTGGATATAGGTATGGAAGACCTTGTTGAACATCGCTGAGCGTTGTGGATTACGTAATCCTGCAGAGGGGGGCGTGCCCGCTGCGAGATCGACGGGAATAAAAGCGCAGAAGACCGGGCGAAACATGCAACGGTCTTGCCGGAAAGGTCATCTGATGATTGTTGCGTTAACAATAATTTGCGGCGTTGGACGTGATGCTTGTTAATGAAAAGAGCCCCTGAAAGGCGTCGGTGAAATCGTTCCCAATTTTGGGTACGCCGTTCCCATAATAAGGAACGCTTGCAGCGCCAGTGTACGAGAGCGTTCCCAAATTTGGGCTCGCGGCCCGGGTGATGGACTGCTTTAGAAATAGGGGAACGATTTGAAACTACGATGGGCCTTACAATATCAAACTCTTTCCCAACAATATTGAGACATCTATCAGGCGATTCACGATCGTTTTATATTTTTTGGACGTCATTTAACGGTTCTTTTTCTTGTTTTAAATAATGCCTACATGGCGTTCCCATATTTGGGTTTATCGTTCCCAAACATGGGAACGAAAATGCGTTCCCGAAAATGGGTACGCTTGACCATAGTTCCGCCTACTGAGGCATCAAAAGATTGATTCCTTTTGGGCATAAATGCAGACCATTTCTAACTTACCAATCACATAAAAATAAGAGAGTGTTTCAAGAAGGAGCATGCCTGATCTTGAACAGAAATGCTTGAACTATCTCTCTCTTCCGGTCTCTCTTCCATCTCCTAAGCAAAATAATATTGCTCCTATCATAACAATTTGAATTCTATGGGTAGTGAAAGGCAATCAAGGAATTGATTCACTTTAAACAGATAATCATAATATTGATTCCCCATCAGCTGGCTAATCATTATTTTGAGTCACAGGTAATGTTAACAGATAGGCAACAATGACTTTCAAGGATACAGCATTTATCTTGCTATTATTCTCATTTAGTGGTATCCTCAGCACCACAACTGATACCTATAGCATTGTTGTACTTTACCTTCACTACATTTGATAACAATTCACAATTTTTAAATGTCAAGAATACAAAAACTGAAGCAACAGGTAAAAACCATATAAATAATATAAAAGCACTACAACAATGATAATTAGGGGTTTAAAAATTTCATTTTGCCATTTTACACAAATACTGATTGGTTAGTATGTGATTCATGATACAAAAATAACATACAGTGTGATTTCCTCAAAACAGCTTTTACGTGATGGACAGCGGCTCTGTCTTTTTCCCATTCACAAGGCCAAAGGGACAATTTCTTAGCTTTGAGGTAACACTTTTTGCAAACCTACCACATTTTTCTACCTTTTAAAAGAAAAATCTCACCGTCATGGGCCTTTTTTCAACCGTAACGATTCATTTGAAGTCAAAAGTGTACCCAAATGAATCAAAAAATTGATTCCATGCCCATATTTGGTCATGGCTCCTCCCACCAGAATCAAATTATTGATGCCTCCATATTTTGATTCCAAAAGTCTAGTTTGCCCAACTGATTTATGCTGTAAGTAGGTCAACATTAATTAAATAAGTTCAGTGTGGGATTGACGAGGAAAATATTACTTAAAAAATCAAGCAATAGAGTATTATCTATATTGTTCTATTATGCACTGTTAGCCGGGGGCTCTGTTTATTAACCTTCGCCCCAGTGTGTGTGTGGGGGGGGGGGCATATGTTATGTTAAATAAAGCTCTCCGACCAATAAAGCGCCACTTGCTGTACATCAACTTTGGACAATGTGTGAAATTTTTGACCCCAGGTCATATCAGGTCACTGGTCAGGTCACCAGGTCCAGACTGGAAAAAATACATGTTATTCCGAATATGTCCGGCGTAGTGGCGGGATTGCGCCGAAAATTTCAGCGCACGTCCGGCGTACCTTCGCATGCGCCGAATTCAGCGCATGGCGGCGGACGAATTTTCCGGCGCATTATTTATTGGCGAAAGACGGTCACCGAATTTATGCGGTACGCTGGTCAATTTAGCAGCAGATTCACCCGACGGGCGGCTCTGGAGAGGTTGCGGGACGAGACGTCCCCGCCCCGGTCGTCGGGTGCTCGAACTGGCGAGCCTCCCTGAGTCTACTCAGCGGAGGAACGGCCGCCCAGGTGAGGCCTCAACCTTCTGCGTAGAGATACCTAGGTATGGAAAACTTGAACGTCGCCTAGCGTCGTAAAGCAATAGCAAAGGGTTCCTGTCCACTGCGGTATCGAGGGGAATGAGAGCGCGGACGACCTGGCAAAACTGGCGGCCGCCCTGCTCTCAAACGCCCGATCGCTGACCAGGGCGGTTCATTGTGCGGCCTCGCATCAGTGGCGCAACAACTGCTCAGAATCACTATTCAAGCCACTCCTCGGGAGCACGCCGCCGCTCCCTATCCCCGGAGAGGAACGAGAGGATGCCATTTCGGTGCACCAGCGGAGGACGGGCCACCGGGGCCGCTCGCTCCATTACGGCACCGAATCGGCTGTCTCCACTCCGCCGCGTGCCAGCAGTGCCCAGACAAGCGGTGCCCAGCGGCGCTCTGCACCGTGAGCCGAGAAGAGGCTGATGTGCCAGAGCACGTGCCGCTCCGCTGCCCGGCCCTCGCAGGCTCTCGCCGAGGTATTGGGTTTACGTGGAAATAAAAACTCATTAGGACGCTCAAACATGAGAGAGTACAAAGCTCCGAAACACTCTGTCTGGTTGATATAATCTTGATCAGTTGATGTGCACATGTGCTTTATATGACAAGGGCTTAATTTTCGCACAAATTGAATTATAGGCATCTAATTTTTGGCGCAAATCACACAGAAATTTCGGTGCAAAATCGCTTGCGCCGAATTTCGGCGCAAGATGGTCTCACAGGCGTCCGGCGTAGTGTATGGATGTTTTCCAGTCTGGCACCAGGTCAAGTTAACCCGCGCCCGGCTGGGGGTCCTGGATTTCCACGCCCTGCTGGGGGGGGGGGGTGTTTGAACACCCCCCCCCCTTGTAACTCGGCTCCTGGGCCACGTAGCGATACGAGGAAGGCGGCGTTCGAAAGAGCGTCAAAAATAATGACGAAATCACTTCGGTCAATTTTTTGGTCAGGTCAATGGTCAGGTCACCAGAGGTCATTGAAGGCAAAATTTCGCCGATTTCCAGGTCGAATGTCGAAAATTTCCAAGAAGCCAACGCATAACTCGGGAACCAATAGAGCTACAGCGCCGCGGAAAAGCGCATTCGATAGCCCTATTAACGCCCTTTCTGAGTAATTCTCTCAGATTTGACCTAACGTCAACGGTTTTGCTTGCAGTGGGCAAAAACTGCAAAAATAGCCGATTTTTTCGGAAACAGTTTTTCTGCAATAACTTTTGACCCAAGCCTTGTACGAGCTTATTTTTACCGGCATCGTGTTCCTCTCGTCAAGACGCATCGAATGAACTATAACTTGACCTTGAAAGGTCAACTTGAAAATTTGACCTCAGGTCAAGGTCATGACCTGACCGGAAAGGGTCATGTTGCATATCAGTCGATCCGTATCGTCGAGCTGAACACATCTAAGGCGTTTTCATCGCTCTAGCATGCCTCTATCAAAAGTTATTTGCGAAAAACTGTTAGATACCATTCGTGACCTAAGATGACCTCAGGGCATAAACAAGGGTCATGGACACCATTTTCATGTTCAGTGTGTCTAAACTACTTGTAATTAGGCGTTTGGGAGTGTTTATAATGTCTTTCGTCCAAAAGAGGCGCATTTCAATTTTCTCCCATTGACTTATAATGGGGAGGTCGCAAAATTGACCTGACCTTAGGTCATCGATATCAAAATTCTGAGATATACATTTTGTACATGTTATTACTCTTAGCAATCGCTGAAAGTTTCAAAGCGATCGGTCACTCGGTGTAGCTATGACAGACATTGAAACTTTTTATGAGGTGAGGTCACTTCAAGTGACCTGGTGACCTGACCTTGAATGACCTTGGTCTGAAAATTTCACAACATGTGTAGAATTGATGTATGATAAGGTGTACCAAAAACGGCGGCGCTCCGCGCCGCCGTTTTTGAGATATTCGCGAAAAACCACAAGGGGGGGTGTTCAAACACCCCCCCCCCCCAGCAGGGCGCGGGTTAACTGACCAAGCCTAAAAATTGCAATCATGTCCAGCCTGCAGTGTTTGTCAGAGAGGTTCTAAACTTGGTGGATTGCATGATGTTATGGGCACCTACAATTTGTATATCTTTTTTTTTTTAATCCGTGACCTAAGGTCAGGCCAGTGGCGTAACCTTTCCATTATAAGTCAATGAATATTGGAGAAAAATGAAAATGCCTCTAGATCTGTGTGTACGCATAGGAACAGTCCAAATATTTCAGAATCACAAGTATTTGGACCACCTGTTACGACCAAGGTGTCTTTTTTTGCTGATAGCATCTAAAAAGGTCATCTCAGGTCATGTGAGGCTACAAACAGACCTTTTGCCAATAACTCAATTGGAACGAGATAGAATGCTGGGGATGGCTCCATTGTGTTTGTCTTGTCGAGACGCATCAAATGATATGCAACATGACCTATTTGGGTCACCACGTGTCATGTGACCTTGACCCGAGGTCAAATTTTGACCTTGACCTTTCCAGGTATTTTTTTTTTTTTTGAAGCGACTGAAGGAGAGAAACATGATAGTGCAATAGCTAATTCTTGATCTATGCTGGTTCAAAAGTTATTCATGAAAAAACCTTTATCCAAAAACAGCTATTTTCACAATATTTGACCTATGGAGGCTTAACCGTTGACCTGAGATCAATTTTGATGATGACCTTATCAAAAGAAGAGTTCAAAAGCTATCGATTGTTTTCCATGTGTTTTTCTGGCTATCATAGTTCCTGAGATAACGGCATGTTTTCTGACAAATATAATGACATTTGGCAAATTTTGACTTTTGATGACCTCTGGTGACCCCAATATTGGTCTAAGATGAAAAATGACCGAAATACTTTCAAGCGTACGCATTGAGAGCTATCAACTGATTTTTACCGCGTCTCTCCTAGCCCTCCTAGCCCTCTTAGGCGCGGGTTAACTTGTTGCACAAGCTCCAATATTTACAACTCGATTTTGTAATGGGGCAGTGGACACTGGACAGTTCTGGATACCTGATCAGGATAGTTCTAATGCTAGAGATAAGCCTAGCAAAGCTCAACGTGACCAGTATGAGTTATTTTAGGCAAGCACCGTTTCCAACAATAGTTTTGTTACTTGTTCCTTCAGTTCTACAAAATGGTACACTCATTCTTTCTTTCCTCTATATAAAATGTTATGGAAGGGCTGCATCTTTTTGACCAAAATGCACACCAAAGTCATCATATGAATTTTGTGAATTTTGCACATTGCTGAGACAGACACACACCACAAACATTTCTTTAACAGCGGAGACAGCCAACCACCCAACTGAATCTACCGAGATTGGTTTGTTTTGTCAGAAGCAAGTCCTTTGGGCCTGTGAAGGCTGTTACAGAGCTATGGGTTGATAACATAGGTTGGAGAGGTTGGACTGTGCGGAATACCGAGATGGTGCACCGCAGTGGCGGAGGACCGCTCGGGCCGGGGGGACGGGGCACGGGAGAGCCCCGTTTTGAGAGCCCGCTCTCTCGCTCAAACGGTCTTCCTGGATAGGGCATAGTCCAAACGAGGGCTTGTCATAACGCCACTATAGTTGTCTGTTGAGGGCGACCGCCTGACTGAACAAGGTAGTGTACTGTTACTCATGTGAAAGGATGCAGCTTGCAGTTTGATTGGGAGTGGACCGAGTGATGTAGGTAATAAAGGATGGTCACCGAGGAAACGGGAAGGTTATTCATCTCGTCTCTCGACCTCAATTTTTTTCTGTTGGACCCCGTTAGAGCTGTCACTGCTTATTCATATTGGCAGAACAATTAATTTGTCATGCCTTTCATTGCTTTACTCATGACAAATATTTACTCGAGCATGCAATGTTTATAGTACAGGAGCTGACATGAGATATATATGGAAGGCAGAAATGATACCGCTTCTATTGCCGAGTTGATTCGCTCCAAGTTCGAGGCGACACCGTCCTACAATCATCAGACGACAGTCTAGTCCAGCCAGTTAGTCGGGCGCCTTTTCTTTGTGCTTTTTGCTCTTCCGCTCAATTCCCGTCTTCCGCTCAATGCCACATGTTTCGGAGCCCCGATGGCCGCTCGACCCAGCTGTGAAGTGTGGCTGTACTGTACAGTTCCGAGTAGTGAGTCTGTTGGCCGCAGCCGGCGTAGCTCCTCCCCCCTTCCTGCCGGGGGGGGGGGGGGGGGGGGGTCGACGCCCGACGGCCGCGTCAGTCGGTGGCCAGCAGTCCTTGTTTTCGTACGCTCGAACAGCCGCGCACGGCGCAGGGCCCTGACTCTGTCTCTTCTTTCCAGACAGGCTCTTTCAAACAAGTCAGACAGGCGGTTACTGTGAGCGAACACTATGATTAAGCGTGCGGTATACCTGATCATACTGGTGCTGATTCATCTGGTGTATGGCGTGTAAGTAGCCGGAGATGAGGGGCTGGTGCCGGACGGGGTGTGGTGACGACTGGGGATGGCTGTGGTTGTGATGACGGTGGGCTGTTGTTGCAGTTGTTGCTAGTGGATAGTGGATTAGTATGTAGCTACTAGCTATGGTGTTTGCAAAGTCGAAATTATTTCGTGCAAGACAAATGATATTGAAGTCATCGCTATGATTGCATACTATCGTGGAAGTTTCTGGGACATTTTTGGCGGTAGGGCTTTATTATTTGCCTGACCCCACCAGCTGACTGGCTTCTTTATTGGTACTCAGGCCCTCAGTGCATGTAGTGTGTACTTTGTACCGTTAATTTCCTGCTCCTGCTTTGCTGCTACGATCTCTGTGGCTCGTTCCAGCCTTGTTTTTACCGCCATTTCCTCTCCAGTGTCTGTTATCACACATTTCCGCGTCCATGTTCGGTAATGTGTGTTCGTGACAGCACGCTGCTGGGGGAACTGTCTGGGTGGGTGTCCAATGTTCAGGCTGTTCGCCGTTGACGATATACGTAAATTGAAATTTCCTATTTGCCCTTATTTCGTTTTGCGAGTCATCTCATTTGCTCGCGTCGATTTCGCCGATCCATATTTTAACTCTTCTGTCCCACATAACCTCTGCATAATTGACCCTTATTGAACCCTGTCCCACTCGAAGCGAAATCTTTCTGACCCGGTGTGGACCTCTGACCTGCTGTGTGACCCCGTCGCCTCTCTGACCCCATGACCATCTCCCATGAGCCCATGACCATCTCTATGACCCCCCCCCCTCTATGCATATGACCCCATGACCTCGTCTGACCTGCGTATGACCCCGGCAGGACCTGGCTGTCGCTGCTGAAGCTCAGCCTGGGCATCATACTGGTGTTTTACATCGCAGTGCCGTTGATCTACCACTTTTGTCCGACCGTGCCGCGCCACCTGGTCTTTCTGCCCTTCTGTGAGTAGTAATTGGAGGAGCAGTACCTGTCTTACCCTTCTGTGAGTAGTAATTGGAGGAGCAGTACCTGTCTTACCCTTCTGTGAGTAGTAATTGGAGGAGCAGTACCTGTCTTACCCTTCTGTGAGTAGTAATTGGAGGAGCAGTACCCTTCTTGCCCTTCTGTGAGTAGTAATTGGAGGAGCAGTACCCTTCTCGCCCTTCTGTGAGTAGTGGTGGCTGAGAGGAGGGCTCGTCCTGCCTTTCCGGGAGTGGGGCTATTGGAGAGGTGTCTTTCCTGTCACGAAGTGGGCCTGTTTGCCTTTCTATAAGTACCTAGTGTTGTCGTAGAGGGGGTCTTCCTGTCTGTAATCGAGTCTTCCTGACCTTTTGTAAGTGGTCCTGAAGGAAAGGGAGCTTTGCTGCGCTCTGGGGATAGCACGTGGGGAAAGCGAATCTCCCCCCCCCCCCCTTCTGGGAGTGAGAGGGCATTAGGAGGGGATCTTGCTGTCATCCTTTTGCGTTAGCGGCGTGTAAAGCAGCGTGGAAGGTGGCTAATTGATGTCCTAGCACGACCCTTGCTTTCGGTAATGTGAATGAGCAACAAGCTGAACCAGACTCGCGCTGTCACACCATAGTATCAAATGGTTATCTTTTATTTACTTTTGTGTCAACGTTTGCAGGCAATCGTTTGTTCTGAACGGGTGCTGAACGGGATCCGAGTACTCAGCTCAGGCTCAGGCTATCCTGGTTTGGCCTCAGAGGGATAACAGTTGTGTTTGGGATTGCCCATAAACAAATACACCGGGCCGGGGCTGTTTTTGAAGCGTTCAGGCTCGTTTTATCAACAGTAACACGCTTGCCTATCGTACTAACACCGCTTCCTGGTTGAAGCCTATGTAGGATATGATTACGGAGCGAGCGAAGCGAACGGAGTCTTACGTAGAATAACGGAAATTTCTGAGTATGAGCGGCCGGCCGGCCGGCCGGCCGTGCGGACGCTTTTGCGAGGCTTATATCTCAGCAACCACTTGACCGATTTACATGCGGTAATTTTTGTAGGGTAGCTTCATTCCTTCTACCAAGTATTAGACTATCCTCGATGCATGTGGGTGACCCCTTATGCACGTGCCACATGCAAAACGAAGAGGTGCCAGTTTAGTAATTGTTGCAATATCTCGGTAACTACTTGGCCGATTGCGCTGAAAGTTGGCATGTAGGTAGGCACCTACTAGGCACTGCATATCCATGTGCCAGAGTTGGGGTGCTGCTGCACGTGCGCACGTGCAGGGGTCGTTTCCAGATCTCGAGAACGGCTGGACCGATGCCGCTCAAATTTGGTACACGGTTAGGGACCAGTTAGTAGGGTGCCGTCCACAAGTCAGTTGGGACCCATTTTGCACGTGCGCACGTGCAGGGTGCCGCTTCCAGATCTCGAGAACGGCTGGGCCGATTGTGCTCAAATTTGGCACATCGCTAGAGATCGGTCAGTAGGGTGCCGTGCACAAGTCAGTTGGAGGTACCCCTCGAAATTTCGCACGTGCAAGACTCACCCCCTCGCTCGCTCCGTTAGTCGCCCCAAAAGGCGCTATACTGGTATGTAACTATAAGTTCGTTTTTCTTTCAACACCGGTTTGGCTCCAAGTTCATTATCGAAGCTCTCACGTGAGTTTTGGCAACTTCAGCGTCTGGCCAATAGTTTCTTACCGGTAAAATATTCAATTTCAAATTATGCTCGGTAAATCCATGGAAACTGTATCTTCAAAAATTATCATACCATGATGACGTCACTGGTGGCAGCTGGCAGCTAATGTCCCTACGGTGGCTCAATGTGTCCACGAATTTAAGAAAATTTCTTTTTCCATTGTTACCGAGGTCAGAACGGAGTAAACGGTTCGGCCCATGGTAGCTATACATTACCTTGCAATGCAAGTTCGACAGCATGACATCATCACTGTTCCAATGTCTAGTACTAAAAAGTACGCATGAAATTTATCGGGAATCATCATCATCATCATCATAGTTTATTAGGCACCAAAGTTGGCAAGAAAGTAAGAAAAAAAAGGCACACACAAAACATCACACAAAGCATGACAGTGGGTGAGCAGGGGCCACACATTGATGTCGCAGGCGACACTCACTCCCGCTCCGGGCATGTCAATAGCCGGAGCAGGCGGCGAGATACTTGGTCCCGGCGACTCATCAGGAAGGCAAGCGAGTCAGCTAGGCCATCGGGAGCCCGTTGGGGGTAGATACGGTCGCTGCACGACCGCCCTGCTGCCACCCCGAGGAGTGCAGAAAGGTTGCAGTCACACATCTCATGAAGCTGTATCAGTAATGAGCCCACTAGCTCAGTCGGGCACATAGCCAGCTTGGTGATTCCTGACAGCAGCGCCTGCTGCAGCCGGTGCTCTGAGCGCATCGCATCTTTCAAAGTGCGGAAACACGCTGCCCGCAGCAGTTCATGTGCTGGTTGGATGTCGGCAGCAGCGAGAAGCGCCGAATGGTGGGCGGAGCGAGGCAGGCCAAGAACCACCTTGATGGAAGTCGCTTGAGCGGAACAGAGGATCGTCATGTCCCTTGCATTGAGCGGGGCGGCCACGCAGCCATATGTGAGCGCCGGTTGAATGATAGTCTTCCACAAGAAGCACTTGTCGGCTGGGCAGAGGCCGGACGTCAGCATACCAGCAGGCGCGAGACCGTACAGGCTGGCACGAGCTCGAGACGCGCGGTGCTGGACGTGTGGCGCCGCAGATAAACTCCCATCCAGTACGACACCGAGGTGCTCGGACTGCTGGCGGGTGGAGAGCTGCTGGCCCGACAGGCTCCATCTTGGCACTTCGGATAGAAGCTCGGCGCCGAAGACCATGCAGTGGCTTTTGGTGCGGACGGGCTCCGGGTGGACGAACTCCAGCCTCCAGGTCTTCGCAAAGTCATCAACCACATCTAGTAGAGTGCTGAGGTTTCTGGCATTGGTGGACAGGAGTAGCAGATCATCGGCATAGCAGACAGCTGGCACGTGGTGACCATATAGGTCAGCACCGAGATCGCTTACGTCCAAGGCGGCTACGAGCGGGTGTAGGTAGGCGTTGGCTAGGATAGGCGAGAGAATAGCACCTTGCCTGGTGCCCCGGCGGATCCTGAATGAGTCGGATATGGCACCGTCAAAGGCAATGTGAGCCTGAAGTCGGCGGTACCAGGCAAGCATGAGCAGCCATGAGTTCGGACGAAGGTGTTGCGCCAGACGGTGGAATAGCCCGTCATGCCAGATCTTGTCAAAACACTTCCTGGCGTCCAAGTTTGCCGCGTAAACTGGCAGATCTCGTTGTCGGCACCACTGAATGGTCTCGAGGGCCAATATGGATGCTTCGCTGGTGCCTCGCTGTTTCACGAATCCCAGCTGAAGGTCGTGCGGACAGAAACTGGCCTCAAGTTCATCCAGCAACAGCACATATCTCACATGTTAAAATAAGGCGACGTTCGATTTTCTCGAGTTCAGTTTTTGGCCATTTCGCTGGGTAAAACGCGTGCTTAGTCGAAAAATGCACTTGAGCCAAACCGGTTTCGAAAAAAAAAACGAACTATAGTAAGGTTAATGAAATGAATTAGATATATGTAGTTAGGATTTTAAATGACCTTTTCCTCGATAATTAATTGGAAATTCAATAAAAAGTAAATATTATATTGTTTGGCAAATTTTCGAACAACTCATTCTCAAGCCACATGAAACAATTATGTGGCTTGAGAATGAACTGTTGTTCGAAAATTTGCCAAACAATATAATATTTACTTTTTATTGAATTTCCAATTAATTATGGAGGAAAAGGTCATTTAAAATCCTAACGACATATGTAGGTATATCACGATGTTCCTCGCTAGAGCACTGCATACTATTTCTTCAGAAATGAATTAGACTTTGTAATAATATAATATTATATCCTATACTGTGATATCTTTTCCAAAGTAGACAGCTGCCTGTGTATGTTGGTGACCGCATTTTACACCCTGGCATACACACTGAAATGTAATTGAGGTAATTTCATACCACAGGCATGTACCCTCGGGCCCGTTTTAACCAACCGCTCGACCCCTGCCCCGTACGATGTGGGTATTGATCGCGGCGGGGTGCAGTGAGTCATGCGACTGAGAGCAGACGGCATTAGACGCGTCTGGACGGCGGCCACTGTGCCGTGAATAGCGGTCAGTTGTATCAGCTGGTCAGTTTGTAGGTCAGAGGGCAGTGGACTGAACGAGTGACATATCTCTTGAACTGCTGCGGTCGAGCGGAATCGGGGGAGCGCTTATGATGTCAAATTGTTTACTAAAAGTGATGAATTGCAGTTTGCTCTATTCAACTAACCAGGTACATGACGTGGCTCTGTCTTGGCGACCACACGCCTGGATAATTAGAAATAAAATTTGGTGCAGGTCTTCTTATATGATGAGGCGGGCCCTCAACAGGTAGAAGGCAACTGTTGACCTTTGCATCCAGATAACGCGGTATCATTTTCAATACGTGTCCTGCAATCACAACTGCTCACAACGCTGATACTGGTGACCTTGGTGGCGTTGCAGTTTCTGTGACCCGGTGACAGTCCGTGGACCCCCTATGCCCCGTGACACCCCTATACCGTATGCCACTAACGCTCCCCTCTCACCCCGCCCCCCTATCCACAGTGCGATGGCCGCGGGGCATCAGTTTTACCCAGCCGGAGCTATCGGGCCTGCGGGCGGCGCGCAACTTTTACGTCACGACCTCGGACGGCGTGCGCCTGGGCGTCTGGTGAGTCACGCGTCACGTGCAGTGACGGGCGGGCGGCACCGTCACGGTGTATGGTCACGAGACTGCGCGGGGCCGAGGGCGGGGAGTGAGTCATCCTGCCACATGCCCTGAAGTGGGGAAGGGAGGTGAAGAGGTGTAAATGTAAAATGGGTATAGGGGCACAGGTGACAAAACAGAAAGCAAATCTTGTCGTGCGGTGAACTTTCATTCACTGTAATCTGATACCCCTGGAATATGTTCTAGTATGAAGGAATGCTTACTTCAGTAAGCTTTCAAAGCATATACCTATTGATCTTTGCTTTGGCCTTTGGGCGGCGGGCGCCTGCCTGAAATACCACAAAACATCTGAGACATCCGGTGGTTGAGTTGAGTCGTCTGACTACAAACAAACCGTCTGTTGAATGAGGGTGAATTGAAAAGATAAATGGTGACGCCTCTTGTGTCATTAGATATCACCTTCACAGGGTGACTTACCAAAGAGCGGACTATCGCGCACCTTTCCATTATAATCTTGTTTTGCGAGCTGTCAGGTACAGAGCGGTCGTGGCCGAGTGGTTAAGGCGTCTGACTAGAAATCAGATTCCCTCTGGGAGCGTAGGTTCGAGTCCTACCGACCGCGGTACGTTTTCGTTCTGCGCTCTGGGTAGTGGTGAAAAAGCTATGCGAATGGACGTTCACTTCGAAAAGACACCCCGACCAACGCGACAACGAAATATATCGAAATTCCACTCCTTTTCCTAGCCATTGCCCTTAGAAACTCCCTCAGAATTCTGGCTGTTTCAGCTCACCAACCTACTAAGCAGATACCGGCCCCGATCAGGAGCTATCACATCAAACTCCCGAACTTAGGTAGAGCGCCACAGTCCATCTTATGCCGATTCCGGCCCGGCCGTTGCACTGAGCTGGGTCTGTCTGGGGTCGTCAAACCGTAGACTGCGGCCGTCGGTCCACCCTCTGACGGGTCAGATCGATATGCTGTATCGATCGCAAGGTGTGGCTAGGTGGGTTGAGCGCATGACTGGGGTCGTTAAGGCATCGGTATAGGAGCTGTTGGTTTTAGTGGCCTTTTGATATAGGTGCTAAGCTGCATGTGTTGTCCACAACACAGGCGCCGCTTAATGAGAGTGCAATTCTGATACATGTAACTAATGCCGAATTATATTCAAGGTCGGAACTGAAACGCTAAATACGGTATATATTGATCGAGGTGCTGGCGAATTTACCTGCTAGGTCAACACCTAATTGACGCATCTCTCTCCTTTCCCTTCCCCTCAGGCACATTTTGCCCGAGCAGGAGATCGACCGCGTGTCTAACGGAGACGGGGAGCCGGACAGCACGGTCTTCGAGTCGCGTCTGTCCTCCGGGGCGCCCATCATCTTCTACAACCACGGCAACTCGGGCTCCCGCGCCGGGCCGCACCGTGTCGAGCTGTACAAGGTGCTGCGCAAGATCGGATACCACGTGGTCTGCTTCGACTATCGCAGTAAGATGATGGGGAGGAGGGAGGGAGAGGGGAAGAGTGATGAAGGGAGGGATGGGAAGAGGGATAGGAAGAAGGATGGAGGCAATAGGGAGGTCAGGAGGGGGGGGGGGCGGCGACGGTACGGGAATTATGGAGGAAGGGAGAAGGGGGAGAGATAGCGTTATGCTGTGATATTCTAGATTGGTATCGTTTTTTTCTGACCGCCCTCATCCCTTCCGTGGCATTCCTCCATGCCCTGACCTACCCACGCCGTCCACCCCCTGACCGCCTCTTTCAGACCCCATGACGGTACTTGTTTCTTTCCTGTATTGGTTATCAGTCCTTCCTTAACCTCCATCCCCTCTCACCGTCCATGTATCGTCCCTCTGTCCCTCTTTCTGTCCCCCAGGCTACGCCGACTCGTCCCAGGTGATACCCAGTGAGACGGGGGTCATCCCTCAGTCTAACCGCCCCCGTCCCCCCCCCGTCCCCAGGCTACGCCGACTCGTCCCAGGTGATACCTAGTGAGACGAGGGTCCCCCCTCAGTCTACCCCCCCCCCCTGTTCCCAGGCTACGCCGACTCGTCCCAGGTGATACCCAGTGAGAGGGGGGTCCCCCCTCAGTCTAACCTCCCCCCCTCCCTTCAGGCTACGCCGACTCGTCCCAGGTGATACCTAGTGAAACGGGCGTCGTCTCGGACAGCAGGTTCATGTACAAGTGGCTGCGACAGCGTGCCGGCCGCTCGCCCATCATCGTGTGGGGACACTCACTTGGCACCGGGTTAGTGGAAGGGATGGGAGGTGTGTGAGCGCATGCATGTCATACAACACATAAAAACACTTAATTGAATACAAATTATGTTTATCATGGTAAATTATGTTTTGGGGGGAAGGTTAGGAGGCAACGTCTCCTTTGCAGCGTAACTTCATGACCAACACGCGGGCTATTATTTTACAGTGTGACCTCAAGACTGACCTACCATCTTTTGACCACTGTTAGATCACATGATGATCCATTTCTTTCACGCTTGACAGTGTGCTCTCACTAGAGATGTCAACTTCCAACCATACCAATACCAACTTCTTGGTATACCGATACCAAACCGATACCAACTTGGTATTTGGTATTTCAAGGCGAACGCATTTGGTATTTTGTTGGTTTTATGAATCCTCTCTAATGTAAAAGAGGCTGATAATTTGGTAAAAGTTGGACGTATTTCCCTCATATTAACAAGTCGGTTCGGTTTCGGTATCACGATTTTCCGTAATTGACATCACTAGCTCTCACACATGACTTATATTTATAGGGTAGTGTGGGGTAATTTGAACATATTTTTACGTCTTCTCCGTTGTACCAAATTCCAGTTCAACCCTGGATGAAGAAAAACTGCTTCAGTAGCACAAGTGTCACTTGCTTTCACCATGCAAGCCTCATTTTTGGACGAGCCGAGCATACCTTGAATAGCATAGCCTCACTTCTCCACCAAGTCATGGTGTGTTCAAATTGCCCCACCGTGGGGTAATTTGAACATACTGCCTTTACCTGTCATACAAACGATAGTCTCGCCAGCACCGATGTTGTTTGACCCATAAACAAATAGGCAGAACAATTCTAAACATACCTTCACTTGAAAAATCAACACAACAGCAAAAATAACAGTTGCAGAGTATCAATATCTGCACGCTGCACACCGGTCAGTTGACAGAATTCGCCCCTCTTCAATTAACAGAACGTCTATCATTTTTGTTCGATAAAAACTCTCCCAACCGTACTACATTTGTTAAAGTGGTGCCAATGGAAACCTGGACATTTGTAGTTCTGATTTTGTCCAATGTCCAATTCGGAATTGGTTGGACAAAGGTAGCAGACTGGACAACATTGGACGATGGCTTGCTACACTTCAGCGCTTTTTATAAAGTAATCGTGCATAGCATTGAATGGCGAATGGACAGCTTGTTAAGCTCTCAATATAATGAACACTTTTCGGCTGGTAAAATTACATGATAAGCAATATAAATGACGGTTTTGAGTGTTGATAGCTGCATAATTTTCGGACATATTTGGACAAATAGTTGACTTTAACATTTTTGGACGGAAAATCAACAAAAATGCCGGACATTAGACGGATATTAGACGTAAATTTTCTAAACTGGCATCACTTATCTGCTACTGCCTTGGGTCGAAAATATTGGCAAAAAAAAAAACTGGGAGCGTTGTTTTTTCGGAGCTATCCCTGTCTTCATTCAAATTCTCACACTATGTTCAAATTACCCTACGCTAAAAGATATTTTGCCATTTTTAAAAACAGGGTTCAAAAGCCAAATTTCTTGGATTGAAGGCACTGATTAGGTCATTATACAACAAAAGCCGTTGCGTATTAGGCGCTAGCAATGCAAGATTTTGCGCTGCAATGAAGTTGCAATGACGTGTTGTTAGGCGTTTTTCCTTGCGAAATTGATTTTTTACACTGTGCGTCAACATCTTCATTCCCTGAAACTTCAAACCCCGTTCATATGATAGCCCTTTTAGTTACGATAATTTCTCTCATTGGTCTTATTGTCATGCCACTTATGGATTTTCCGTGATTTTCTGTTATTCACACTATGTTCAAATTGCCCCACATGTTCAAATTATCCCACCCTACCCTACTGTTTGACCTCACACATTGTTCAGGTCTTTGTTGCAGTGTCATGCCTTCCTATTACAGTGTGACCTCACATAATGGCGCTCTATCACAGTGTGACCCCACAATGGCTCCTGTTTTCGCAGTGTGACCTCCCACATGGTGGCTGACCTGTGTCTGGAGGGTGACCGTCCGACGGCGCTGGTCCTGGAGTCGCCCTTCAACAACATCCAGGAGGAGGTCAGACTGCACAAACTGGCCTCGGTGAGTGAATGAGGGAGAGAGATGTGTTTGGTAATATGGGCAGTGGGCGCAGTATCAGGGTCATAGTTGGGTGCGTTACGAGGTAGGAGGTATGTACGGGATGCGCTCGATGTGGAGTACGATATGGACCCTGACTGGGTGGTCACTGGATTTTCTTGTGGCAATTGAATATTACTTGTGAAATGCCACATCGCTTGATAATGGTGATTGGTGTTGTTGGCTTAGTGTGTCTGTTTTAGATAAACAATTATACATTGCACTCTCAGCTGTCAGTGAAAAAGTCATAGGCATTCTACGAACTTAATCGATGTAGTGTTTTCTAAATTAGCGATGTTATTGCCTTATATTTTGGTTCCCTACTCCTTAGACAAACATCGCACGCTGCGTATTTCTTATTGTACATGTAGGTCAGTTGTTCTATGAGCCGCTCGCTCTCCAGTTACCTCCTTTCTGATATCTGCCCCCGTTCCTTTCAGCTGTACCGTAAGATGCCCGGCTTTCACTGGCTGTTCCTGAAACCTCTGCGTGACAACGACATGATGTTCGAGAGTGACCGCCACATCGCGAACGTCACGGTGCCCGTGATGATAATGCACGCAGAGGACGACCTCATCATACCCTACTCGCTGGCCGTCAAGGTACGTCATGCTACTCGCAGTTCTTTATTCTGTGATATGAAAGTGTGTGTGTACCTATGGTAAAAGCCAGGAAATATAAATAAGTGGAATTCGCTCAGGAAAGTTGTTGTTCATCCCGACGAAAATATATTGCGATACCCGACATATTATGTGCTATGTGTGCAAGAAGTTATTTCGCTGTTGTGCCTACTTATTGTTAAAGGCTACAGCATAGCCTGAACTCGATGACAGAAAATGTCATATATGTACTGATGGCAAGTGTATCAGAGCAGTACAGCGTTAGATAAACAAAGACCCCCACCGCCGCCGCCACCACCCAGCACAGTTCTTTGTCGTACCGTGTGCCGTTATCCTTGGTCCGCGCTACCCAGTGAGCCGGATGGGTCTAACTAAATAGTCGTCACCAAGTGGTCGGACGCGAGTGCGGCGGCGGCAGCTGGTGGTAGCGGTTTTGTTGATGTTTTTGTGGCGTGACTCGTCCAGAGAGCCCAAGGCTGTCAAGTGTCGTGCAGCTGAGAGGGAAGGGTGGGGAGGGGACGGGGAGGACGTGAGGTGAAGGGGTTGGAGAGGAAAGTGTTAGCGCTGCTTGAGTTAGTGTTGTGTGTAGATGAGGCGAAACTGGGATGCGGTCACTTTTGTTAGTGTTTTGTTCCACAATCGTCATAAAAATACTAAACATTTCAGCCTTGGCTCTCTTCAACACGTTTGCATTTCTAACTCACATCCGTTGTCCCAAACATCCGCCGCCCATATACCGTCGTGGCAACTGACGTCATTTGACCACCAGTGACGTAATTTGTGTGTGTTGCCGCGTGTTCCAGCTGCACCGTGCGGCGTTGCGGCACCACCCGGCCGACAGGATCGAGTTTCACACGTTCGAGGCCCAGTACCACTACGGACACAAGTACATCTGTCGCAGCCCGCGGCTACCCGGACTGGTTCGGTGAGTGCAGAGGCTGACGGGATGGGAACGGTGTTTTCTGGTATGAGCTAGGGGGTTTGTAATAGAACTTTGTGTCTAAAAATTGTGTGTGTTTTGTATGATGATGTTTTCGGGTGTTTACATTTGTGGTAGTTTGTCATACTGTACAGCTAATTTCGAAACATTTACATATTTGTTTGTTTTGTTGGGTTGGGCCCTTTCGGTCCGACAAAACCATTTCAGAGCCGGAAGGATGATAGGAATTAGGAGAGACATTGGTCTGGGCAGGCACCCTAGTGAGTCGCCGGGGACAGGCAGGCCAGGCCCGTCCCGAAGGACAGGCCGACCAGCCCCCCAAGTACTCACTGCACCCGACTACGGGTGTGCACCCTTGGGACTTGGGAGCAGCGGTGCCGCTCCAAGGGAACAGCCCGCATGAGATGAAGTTGCCTGTCCATCCCGGAGCGAGGGTTGCGGCGTGGAGGAGAAGGATTTGATCATCCTGAGGATGGAAACGACGAACTGGTGTGTGCAAACATTTACGTACTAGCCTACTAATTTTCAACGGCCTTTTGTCCTTTTTTGCAGAGATTTTGTGGAGAAGAGCATACACTGGCACAACAAGCAATAAGGAAGCCGCTGGCTCGAACGAGTCGAATGATCCGTGAGGTCATTTAGCGGCACACTTACAACAATCTGACATGATTCCAGTGGCAGGGCGTGTTTCAAGACTCCCATCAACCCAGGGTCTTATCTTGCCGAGACTTTGTGTTCTATTTGAGCACAGTGGACGGTTCTTTAGCATGGCTAGTCTCGTCTGCGGATATGCTGTTTTATTTGACGCGACTGGTGTGACATCTATAATGTACGTTATCGGCTAGTAATCCTAGACGTGATGTAGGTGGCAGCACCTGTGCGCATGCCCGCTATGCGGAGCTTCAGTGACTGCTAATACCGCATACCGCTAAACTAGCCGTGACATTGCTGCTGCTTTCGTTAGCCAGCCAGCTGTTATGAACGCTGTGATGTCCCGTTGGCTTTAGCCATGCCTATACTCGATGTCTTACAATAGCGGCTGTTCCCAGGAGTAAATCTTACTGCGTGGGTTCACCTATGAGTGACCGGTTTTACGAAGGGACAAATCAGTGAAGTGGTAAGCCGATCGCAGGTTACCAAGCTTTATCAGGTTTCTGCGTTTTAATTGTGGACGTTGGTAACATTGACGATATTAGGGCTGCTGCTGATAGGTGGATCCAGTCATTCCAATGGAGTGCCTGGTTGTTTTTATTCAAAGACGGCATGTCGCTTCCCCTAAGTTTCCGCCTGGTTGATGGTACTTTGGTGTAACACAACGCTTAGCTAGAAGTGCGAATCAACATGTACCATAAACCGGCATCAACATGCTTTTGCCAGTCCAACAGCGTTCTTGCTTCTTGCGGCGACCCCTCAGAGCAACCTGCGCTGTATAACATAATATGCTCACCGCTCCAACGCTTTTGCTCAAAGCATCTGCCCGACTGCCTGATGTCGCTGCCTCCTCATAGATGTCACTGTGATCGCTGTGACCGGGTTGTGACCCAAGTGTAGCATCAGCCAAGCCTTGTATTAGACCGACCGGAGCTGACCGGGTCGGATTTCACTCAGTCGATGTTTGGTTCTCTCGTGTCGGGTTTTGCAGGCTTCAATCATGTTCGGTTAATTGTATTTTCTGCTGTGGTTACATACAGTTGAATTTGGTTGTCAGAGAGTTGCAATACAGTGTTTCTGATGTTATCTTCTCTCTTTGTTTTAGCTTCTGTGTAAGGCGCTCTGGATGACATTGTGCATGGATGCATTGCTGTGTGCTAAGAGCGAAATGCTGGAATCCATTTATTTGTTGCTCCATCGATAGATCTTTTCTTACTTTTTATGTCCACACTCCACATATCCGCTATCCATTGCATATAAGTGTCATGCATCAAAGCCATTGTTCCTAAATCAAGGTATTCAAAAGGTCATAGCTAAGACTTTTCAGCGTTTTATGAGCGCGTTTCCCTACTTTTTATAAGAATGATCGAATACACATCTTCACATGCTAATCATTCATCAGATAGCACAAAACTACACACCAAGATAAGCTTTTCCGCATTTTCTCGAGAGAAAAACTGCTCTCACACCCCTGTAACTGTACGTAGCTCGTCTGAGCTGGTCCGGTCCTGGTACCAAGGTTGCTGCTGCTTGGCTCGGCCAGGCCGCCCGGACTGGGCTTTTGTGTGGGCTCGGCAAGCAGATAGACGTCCAGAACTGAGCCGGTCCGCACGCGCGCAACCGTTTATGGTTAGATCAACACTGAGAGCGGTGTGAGTTTCAGGAAACGGGCTCAGCCATTGATATCAGATCTTACTGGTGGATCCAAGGGGGAGATGAGGCAATGGGGCATATCTGCCTCTTGCAGCTGCCAAAACTGGTAAACCCGCGCCAGGCCGGTACTCTACGCCAACCATCATGCAGCGTGGTTGTCGTTCTAGCTTGTCTTAACGCCCCTCCCCTCGGCTCCTTGGCTTCGTATAGGCATAGCGATAGGCGTCAGGCGGTACGGGGCATTCGAAGGAGCGTTAAAAATAATGAAGGTATCTACTTCGGTCATTTTTAGGTGAAGTCAAAGAGCTACCGTGCCGCGGAAAAGCGCATTTTATAGATCCTTCAACGCTCTTTCTGGAGTAAGCTCTCTTACCCCAGCTCTCTTACTCCAGATTTCACCTAAGATTAGGTATAGCCTCCAAGGGGCAAAAACTTAAATTGGCCATTTTTATGAAGGAAAAAAACGTAATAACTTTTGACTGAACTGACGCACGGCATTGCTTTTACCAGAATCGTGTTTCTCTCGTCAAGACGCGTCGAATGATAAGAATGATCTTAGAAGGTAATTTCGATAAGTTGACCCGAGGTCAAGGTCATGACCTGACCGTAAAACATCATGTTGAATATCAGTCGATCCGCATCATCGACCCGAGCATAACTAAGGTATTTTCGTCGTTGTAGCTTGTCTTTGTCAAAAGTTACTGTTAAAAAATGCTGAAGACCTTTCGTGACCTGTGATGACCTCGGGGACATAGGGAGAGGTGGTCATGGCCCATGGGTGCAATGTGGATCCTCTAATTAACCCGCGCCCCAATGGCGGTCTCAGCCAACTTCGCCCTAGTGGGGGGGGGGGGGGGCATATGTTACCACCCACCTCTAACTCAAAAACTAAGAGGGCTAGAAAGACGCGGTAAAAAGCAGTCGATACCTCTCAATGGGTACGTTTGAAAGTATTTCAGTCATTTTTCATCTTAGAGCAATATTGGGGTCACCAGAGGTCAGCAAAGGTCAAAATTTGCCAATTGTCATAATATTTTTCAGAAAACATGCCGTTATCTCAGGAACTATGATAGCTAGAAAAACGCATGGAAAAGCAATCGATAGCTTTTGAACTCTTCTTTTGATAAGGTCATAATCAAAATTGACCTCAGGTCAACGGTTTTTACCTCCAGAGGGCAAAAACTCCAAAAATAGCTGTTTTTTTACGAAAAGTGTTTTTCGACAATTACTTTCCACTACAAAGAGCCACGACATGTCTATTGCCAGAATCGTGTTCCTCTCGCCGAGACGCGTCGAATGAACTATAATTTGACCTTGAAAGGTCAACTTGAAAATTTGACCTCAGGTCAAGGTCATGACCTGACTGGAAAAGGTCATGTTGCATATCAGTCGATGTGTATCAATAAGACAAACACAATTAGACCATCCCCAGCGTTCTATCTCTTTCCAATCGCGAGTTATTGGCAAAAATCTGTTTGTAGCCTCAAATGACCTCGGATGACCTTTCTAGGGGCTATCAACAAAAATGACACCTTGGTCATCACGGGTGGTCCAAATCATTGTGATTCTGAAATATTTGGACTGTTCCTATGCGTACACACGGATCTAAACGCATTATCATTTTTCTCCATTGACTTGTAATGGAAAGGCCACGCCACTGACCTGACCTTAGGTCACGGATAGGTATAAAAAATCCGAGATATACAAATTGTAGGCGCCCATAACAGCATGCAATCCACCAAGTTTAAAATCTTTCTGACAAACATTGCAGGCTGGACATGATCGCAAACTTTTTTAGGCTTGGTCAGTTAACTTGACCTGGTGACCTGACCTGACATGACCTGGGGTCAAAAATTTCACACATTGTCCAAAATTGATGTACCAAAAGCTACCCCAAGCGGCGCAGCGCTACGCGCGCGGTTTTTTATTTATACGCAAAAAACGCGACAGGGTGGTAACATATGCCCCCCCCCCCCCACCTGGGGCGAAGGTGCCCACCCGCGCCCCACTGGGATCTGCGTATAACACGCTCCTAACTCCGAAACTATTAGGCCGATTATTACATTTCAAATGGCGTCCAATAGCTCCGGAAAACTGTTGAGCGAATCCTAATTTTATTGACCTCGAGGTCACCGATGGCGTCACAGGTCAGGTCCAAATAAAAATTATAGATGTTTACCTTGTTCACATTTTGGGCTCTGGCCGCCGGTTTACAAGTCAGATAAGGCTCATTTTTGGTTTACGCACTTGTGAATCGATGCTCTAGATACCCTGAGTGTACCAAACTTGTACTTTGATTTTCATGTCAGGTTCAGGTCATCACAGGTCACGGAAATCTCATATCATAAATTGGTAGCGTGACACATGTTTTATGGTCCATTTAGGCCATAGATTTCGAATTCGATATCGTTTATGTCATTGGAGGTCATTTTGAGTTGAATGTAGCTAATAGTGATGTCAATTTCAGAAAACATATGTCCAAGGTCTGTCCAATGTCCAATACTTACGTCGACCGAATGTCCAAGCCAGCCATTTGTCCGAAGATGTCCGACATCTACGCAATAGTTTACACTCAACACCGTTATTTAATTTGCTTTTAATGTATCGGTACCAGCTCTAAAGTGGTAATCATATCGAAAGCTGAGCTTTCTAATAGCCAATCAATGTTAAACACGATTTCTTTATAAAAATGTTGAGGTATAGCAAGCGATTGTCCAAAGTTGTCCGAGGCCTGCTGTCATTGTCCAACCGAATTCCGAATTGGACATTGGACAAAATCGGAATTCCGAAGATTCAAGTTCCGATTGACACCACTAGTAGCTAAGGACTGAGGTCAGGCCCATTTCAGGCAAAAAAAGGTCAAATTAAAAAGCTTAAAAAAATCAACTAAGATGGTGTCTGTCGGATGCAGTTTGAGCTTAACCCACGAGCCGCTGGGGGGGGCATAAAGTTGCCCCCCCCCTTTACGTTTGGTGAAATATCTCCGAAACCTGATGAGCTACGAACGTGAAACTTGGCATAGCTTCAAATGAATACCTAGGCAATGTTTGAGGAAAGTTTGGTGGTTGTAGCACCTAAGATGACGTCACAGTGACGTCATGAAGTTTTGTCGTTTTCCGATATGGACCGTTTCTGATGACGCTGAGCATGAAACTCAACTGTAAATGAACTAGACAGCACCTGCTGTCATCCTAAAACATCTAACTACACTTCCATCTAGTTTCTGACCAATAATTGGCCCTTTATATTCGGTCCCATATATCTGCTGTATCGTGAGGAATATGAGAGTCGCAAATCTATAATTTCACTTATGACGTCACTGTGACGTCATTTCAAATGGGATCGACACCAAATTTGGACTCAACCTCGGCTAGGTATTCAGGGAGATGTGTGCAAAGTTTCGCTTCTCTATCTCTTCGCGTTGCGACGATATCGTCGCAGAAGTAAAGGGGGGCAACTATATGCCCCCCCCCCCCCCAGCGGCCGGCGGGTGGCGCGGAGGCCCAGCGGCCGCCGGGTTAAGAACACGATGGTGCTATTTGTATTGGTGTACGATTTTAATATGTACTGATCAATTGATTTGAAGAAAAAAAAATACCTATAGTTATGAAATTTTTGCTCTACCTAATGCGTAGGTACCTATAAATCGGCTATTTATCAAGATATCCGGCTAAAACTGGCGAGCATGTGACATATTTCACATATTCCGGATTTTTTGAAAAGTCAAAAACTTTTAGGAAAAAGATGAAAGGATAAATTTTGAAATTATATATAATTTTCAAAATTTTCAAACTTTTGAACATCCGAGATAGCAGTTTGCTATTAGCTTGAAAACTGAACCCTTGAGAGCAACTGCCGTAGTTCAATGTTTTGCTTCGAAATCGGCCGCACATGACGTTACTTTGACGTCATTTCCGGCCGACCTATGGTAGCTAAGACGTTCATATTTTGACACAAGGTGTCAAATTGATGCAGCTGAAGGTACAGAAAGTTTTGCGTCGATATTCTAGCGGTTTAGAAGTTATTGCAGAAAACGAGAGGGGGGCTTTCAATAGTCCCCCCACTTGTGGGGCGCGGGTTAAATAGGGTGCAGGAAGTTCCAATCACCGCGCATGACACACGGCTGTAAGATGGCGCGGTTAAGCGTGGGGTGGCTGGGGAATCGCCGGGGAATGTTCTTACTCACAGCGGGAGAACTTATGAAGGTTGAATGAAAACATTGACATTTCAACTGGAACCGGACATACTGGTATACGTGCGCTCCAGCCGATAAGGGTAGGCATAGTGGGGAATCCCATCCCCTTTGTCGCTATTCTGCTCCTATAAACTACAACATCGCGAAAAAAAAAAAACGATCTAAAGTAGAGTCCAGTTTTTGAGCTAGCACCAATTTCGTTTCATGAGATGACAGAAAACGCACAGATCTAGCAGAA